TCGATCCATTTTCGTACATCCTCGTAATTTCTGAAGTGTGTATCCACCAAACCGTGCTGCTTCGACCGGAACAAGTAATAGTCCGAAGGAGCTAAGTCTGGTGAATACGCTGGGTGCGGGAGAAGCACCCACTCGAGCTGATCAGTGTTTCTTTGACGGCTTTGGCAACGTGTGGTCGAGCGTTGTCGTGCAAAAGCATGACTTTACGTCGATTGCTGGCTACTGCTGGCCTTTTTTCCAACAATGCTTCATTCAGACGGTTTAATTGTGATTGATATCGATCCCCCGTGATACTTTCGTTCGGTCTGAGTAGCTCATAATAAACGACGCCGTGCATATCCCACCAAATGCAAAGCATTGCTTTGTGGCCATGAATATTTCTCTTTGGTGTGGATGTCGATGGTTGGCCAGGGTCTACCCATGATTTTCTTCGTTTAGGATTATCGAAGTATATCCATTTTTCATCGCCAGTCACTATGCGCCACAAAAAACTCTTCTTTTTCTGCCTGGCGAGCAGAGAAATAGAGATGTTTAAGCGATTCGCAATGGCATTTGCGGTTAATTCGTGTGGTACCCATTTTCCCTCCTTTTGAATTTTTCCCATTGCATGTAGACGTTTGGAAACAGCCATCGGAGTAACATTTAATGCTGCAGACAATTCTTGGAGCGTTTGAGTAGAGTTTTCGTCCAATAATGCCTGCAAATCGGTGTCTTCAAACTTTTTCGGTTGGCCTGAGCGTTCTTTATCATTGACATCAAAATCACCACTCTTAAATCGCTGAAACCATACTTGGCATGTTCTTTCCGATGGAGCATAATTGCCATAAGCTTCGAAAAGCAATTTATGAGCTGCAGCTGCAGTTTTTTTTCAAGTAAAAGTAATGAAGCAGCATATGTCGAAAAAACAACTTATACTTACTTAACGTTCCATATTTAATCAAAAGAAAAAATAGCATTGTTCGCTTAAATGAATCTCTTTGCACTGAATTTTATTGACAAATGTCTAACCTCTAAAATGCAGCCAGTTTCAGATGTCAAAATAAATTACACCTACAACTAACGTCATCTAACTGTGAGCCGCAGGAACTAAGTTTACTAAGTTTACCACCTAATATATATATATTAGGGTGGTCCTTATTTTTCGACTTTCAAATTTTTTCTGCGGTACCCTCCAAAAAGTTTCCATTTGACAAAAAAGAAATCCCTTCCAAATTTTTGCTCGATCGGATAACGACAACCCGTGCCCCCGGGTTGTTAAACATTGGAATACTCTTGTATTAAGCTGTCTACGTTACTCACACAGCACGTAATATCGCAGAAATATCACAGCAATATTATATTTTCATTGCAATATTACCAGGGAATATAACAGAAATAATGCTGGAATATTACTAAGATATCACAGTAATATTAAAATGTCCGCGGCAAATGCATCACAGTAATATAATGGTGAAAATCACAATGATATTGTGACTGTAAGAAAATCATAATATTTAGAAAAGTATACTTATATATTCCTAGTTTTTTCATGTTTCATAAACTGCTACGTATCGAAGGTTGTCAAAATACACTTCAAACTTTCGTGAAATCCTCCAGCAATAATTTCGATCCCAAGCAGTATAACCACTGGTCAACCATCCATGTCCTGACCGCATTAAACTGTTGCTTAACCTGACGATCGAGCGCGCACGCGGTGACTCTGATGACTCCAACGATGTTCTTACAATTCATGCTTATATAATGTATCCTTATAGTGTTCACAGTACATTATAATATACTTAGCAAACATAAAATAATAGTTATATAATTTTTACTTAGTGTTAGTTGGATAATTTACTGATAGATATTGAAACAATGCAACAACATTCGATATGCGATAAATATTGATGTAATGTAGTAAACCAGTGATAATTACTTTTAGATTTTTAAATGTTATAATGATTAATCCAAACAAAAAAAAATTAAAAAATCCAAGAAAACAAATTAAACAAATTGAAATACTAAATTTTAAAAGAAACTTTTAAAAAATACTATTTCTGTAAGGAAAGGTGACTTCAAATGACGCCGTAATAACATTTTAATGATGTCTATAATGTCAAAGAAATTGATATGTCAATTGATGTCACCATTCTATTTAGAATATGATATATTGCTATAATTTAACTATAATATTGCAAATATATAAGTGTAATACTTCAATGATATAAATGTGTAATATTTCAATGATATAAGTATGTAATACTGCAGTAATATTTCTGTAATATTTCAATGACATATGCAAAGGTGCAATATTTCAGTAATATTTTTGTAATATTTCACTGTGATATGTAATATTATCACTATATTACAATATCACTGCAATATTTCTGCAATATTACGTGCTGTGTGGGTATCAATATGGTTTCTAAAGCGTGTTCTTCACAAAAATCGCCCTAGAGGACTTTTCTTTTTTCTTTCTACATCGTTTGAGATCTTTCAGTCTCATTTAAACAATTAGATAAATTGTTTATGACTAAAAAATAAAAATAAATATATATTTTTCGAGAAACTTGCCTTTCGATTAAAATGACTCACCCTGTATATACACATATTTTTAATGCAGTTAACCTTGTATCTGATTATAGGTAAGTATATATGGAAAACGTAATAATTAGATCTGAATGAATTTTTACAAATGGAAAGTGTTGAAGAAATGAAAGAATTTGAAAACATAGTTGTAAATGAAAAAGAAAAACGAGAACAGTTTGTAAGTATTATTGACATATTACCTACATATGTTAAACTTACGGAGAGTAGAATGTTGTACAATATTTCTGTTAACAATTTGATACTAGGAAAATGACAGAATTTGAGCGAACAGAAAGTGATGAGACAGACTTTGCAAACATACATAAAGAAAGATACATTAATCGAGTTAGTAAAACAAATAGCATATTGCTTAGAATCTCTTAGTAACAATAGGAATCAACTCCCGAACATTATTCACTACATTGTTTTTCGTAACACTATCAGATCGTGAAATGCGGTATGTAGAGTGCCAATACTACATGTTGCAACTAATTCTCATTGTTGTAACAAGATTCTAAGTTGTAAGCCATATGTCTTATACAAAGTCTATATATATATATATATATATATATATATATATATATATATA